AAAGGAAAGGGTATAATCCAAATTCGGGGAACTGACTGGGGGGAGGGGGTGTCTAAATAAATCGTTGCATAACAATCATACAACCGGGGTTTCTAAGCTATCTGTTTAAAAGCTGCGATTAACATGTTCCTACGTCGAGTAAAATATATACGTGTGTAATTAAGACTCTATCGATGTGACTAAACTGAGGTAGCTGCTAAACTAAGTAGCGATCGGAGGAAACTGGATCGGGAACCAAAGTCGGTAGGTTGTTTCCTACCAGATGCTAAGCAATACATTTCGGTAAAGGTTTTTCTGCTCCTTCTAGTCGGCAGTTTGTCGTCCGGCATTTAGTTATATCCATTTTTATGGGCTTTATCAATGCAGTTGCAACCGAAATAAAGAGTACCAAATAATATGGGTGGGTAAATGAAACCAAATATAAATTATTAAAAATATTTCATTTAATCATTTGAAAATTCAACAAAAATTCAATATTAATTGTAGTAATAATAATAGCAGAAAGTAATGTAATTTTTGTCCTTTTTCGTTTTTATTGAAATACAATTAAATTTATTTAGTTTTCCATACGGAGTACGAATAATAATAATAAAAATCAACTAAAATATTCAACTAAATTACATTAAAAGTAGACATTCAAGTTGAATTGCCAAAATGTGTAGGAGAGGAGGAGCGTAGGGGGAGAGGGGATAAAACACTGGGCGAGGGATTGATTCCTTTTGGGGATCGTGGGGTTTTTGGGGACTTGTGTATAACATAAAAAGGTACAAAGTATACATATATTACACATTACGAATTAGGCATAAACAAAAGTGTGCTAAGTTAAACAAAAATTCCAATCGGATAGCAATAAAATCAATCTATAAATTTGGTGAATGGAAGGAGGGGGTTACACAGTGGGGTTTTTTTTGGGGATTACATAATTTTGGAAATATCTGCTGCGCAATATTGCCTTGGCCTTGGGGAATTGGAGGAGGATCGCGGTTGAAAGTGCCTAAACTTCACCAATTTGTACATTTCGTCATCAGATGATCTGAGAAAGCTCGGAGGGAGCTATCAAAAATTGGTTTTTAAGAATTTCGGTTAAAGTTTAAACATTTTGCTGCTGCTTCTGCTGGGCTCTACACGGGTTTTGGCATGTTCCAGTAACTGAAGATCGTCAAAAGATTAAAGGGGAAAGGCGCGCAAATATTTCATTCGTTTAACATAAAATATAAATGTTTTTTGTTTCTTGAGTACAAATTATGAACTAAACAAAAACTGCTTTTAAATTGTTTATAAATTGATTACTTGATTTAAACGTACATATTTTGTTTTACTTTGCCTTGATTTATCATAGTTTAATATGCATTTAGAAAACATTGTTATTTGTTATTTGTTATTCGTTATTTGTTATTGATTTTTGCTAAGGAGGTAATATAAATTACATTTTAATGTGTTTTACTCTCGCTCAATCGCCATCTCTTCCTCATTACTTAAAGACTTCTACTATGTTATTCATTTGCCGTCTAGGGGTTACGATTCATTAGAATTAGTTGTGATCGGAAGTCTGACTATTACTGTTTAGGGATTCCTTCGATTCGATTCTTCTCCTTCTTATTGGTGGCTGAGGTGGGCATAAGTTTGTGGTTTTTTTTTCTCTCGACTGGACGCGATCGAGACTTCGTCCTAGCACATTTAACTAAAACAAACACTGAATCAAACTAAAACTCGGGCTGACTTACGTAGTAGTTGGTGGTGCGGGTGCTGCTGCCTTTTTTGGGGCAGCAATAGCTTGCGTAGAACTTATTACCAATATGTTTTTTTTGTAGTGTAGTGTAGTGTAGGGCTAAAGGTTACTCCAATTAAATATCTATATAACTATATGCTGTATCTGTGTGTTTCGTGTGTCATGTTTTTTTTTGTGTGGGGTTTGCCTATAAATAAGTTTTCTCCTTCCTCCTGCGCGTACAAATATTTTAGATTAAAACCTTAAATTTAGACGAAAATTATATATAACTGTGCCAAACTTATATATAATCCTCTCAAGTAAATGCCAAAGGTGTCGCTTGTCGTTAGTTTCTATCAATTTAGGTTTAGGTATTAGGTATTAGGTTTAGGTTAGTTAGGTGTAGGTTTTTAGGGTATAGGGTATGTACTTATAAACTTAACGGTAGTTCTATATAAGTAGACATAACGAAGACATCTCGTTACTGTAAGTTTGTATTCAAAAAAATTTACTATCACTCAGTTTGTCCCTTCATGCGTTCTGAAAAAGTTGTCGTTAAATTAACGTGTATTATTTGGTATGTAAAATGGCGGCAATGCTAAATGCCCAAAAGGCGGCGTTTTCATTTACTGGAAAAACTGCAGCACATGCAAGTCTCAGATCCCATTCTGATCCCCAGGTTTTTGTATTTCAAGCAGATCCCTCACCAAAAGTCACCAAAGGGGGATAAAAGGGATTCGGGGATTTTTCAAGGAAGGGGTATTATTTTCACAGATATTCGAGGGTGGTTTTAAATTCTTTTCCAAAAAATTCCAGGCAATGCCTTGATCAAAACACAGAAATGAATATCGGAATATTATCACACTGTTGAAAACTATCCAAAACAATCGGAAACGAAAGAGTAACTCGCTAACTCTAGATGCATTCACAGTTGCTTTCGGGGTTGGTGTTTTACATTTTTCTCAAAAATGATTATTCCTTCCGAAGGGCAATTCACAGTGATAGAAATACATTTTCAATGTTTAGGGGGGGATGAACAAACAGGGGATGTCACAGATTGGCTGTCTCTAAAGGAGGCAATTTTGGTTTGGGGTTTTGGGCTTTGACATTTTCTTAAAATGTTTGTTTTCAACTGGGTCTCACAAGGGATTTTTTGGGCCTAGCCTAGTCACAACTTTGGATAGGGTTTTAGAATTTTTTATAAAAATTTAGTTTTTTCGATTAGTCACAGTGAAGGTTTTTAAAAGTGTGGGGTCCTCTCTCTTACAATCGGTATCCGAAATGAAAAACCTTTTGGAAAAGACTCCACACTCTGCTCACAGATGATTTGACGAAACTTACACGGTCTAAATTTTAGGGTTCGTATCGAACACAAAGGGGTTCAAGGAATGGGGATACATAACACAGTGCTGCTGATCGATTTTTGGTTTAGGCTGCCTAAACATTTTCTCACAGATAGGTGACATATCAGAGGGTTTTACTTTTAATTTCATTAAAATTTCACAATGTTTTAATATGGGAAAGTAATATAACCAAAAGGAGAAAAATCTAACGGAGTTAGTTTAATGTTTAGCTTGCCTAAACTTCTTTTCACAGATGGGGGTCATATCAAGAAGGGGTTTTATTTTCAATTTCATTAAAAATTTCACAGAATCTGCTGATTGATTTTAAGGTTCAGGTTGCCTAAACTGGGTTTCACAGATGGGGGAATATCAAACGGGGTTTTACTTTCAATTTCATCAAAAATCTTCACAAATTCTTTTTTTAAGTTTATGTTACCCACAAACTTTTCACAGTGGGGGTCATATCAAATGTGGTTTTATTTTCAATTTTATTAAAAATTTCACAGGCATTTTAAAATGAAATTAATTTTGGGAAGGGGGAAACTAAATTTGGAGGCATGAATTACATAACACAGCTTTTGCTGATCGGATTTTAAGGTTTAGGTTGCCTAAACTATCTGTCACAGATGGGGACATTTATCAAGGGGTGTTTTACTTTCAATTGAATTAAAATTTTCACAGGTTCAGAAACATTGAAATGAAAGCAAATAAAAAGTTTTTAAGGAATCTAACACAGTTTTTGATGATTAAATTTAAGGTTCAGGCTGCCTAAACATTTTCACACAGAAGGGTTTGGTTTTTATTTTAATTCAATTAAAATTTCACAATATCGAGGGGGAGGTTATATGGGATCAGGATAAGGGACTTTTACCCCACGGATTTGGTGACTTTTCTAAGCACGGAATAAACAAAAACAGGAAACATTGAACCGCTCTATAAATTGTTGGATGTTTGCTTGCATACCATATTTAAAATTTAGAAAAAATCGACCTTAAGCCTACTAAACCTATCGTTAGTGAGTGCCTGCATGTGGTTTTGGATGCACCTGCGGGCTCGTCACTCTACTTTAGAGATCCATCACATACGGCTGCTCTGCTAGTTACGAAAAATATAAGAACCCTAGACATATACAAAAAAGATCGCTATAAACTACACTTACACTTAATAATTAATGATCACGCTGCGCCGAAAGTTTATTATATTTTTTTTTTTTTTTTTTTTTGAAGACTTAACTAAGAGAGTTTGGGGGGCGTGGGTGGGGGTGGGCTGCTTGAAATACTCCTGAAAGGGGTGAAGGGATGTCCTTGTTACATGTGCCGCCTGGATACTATTTGTATGTGTGAGTGGTTGGGTGGGTGGTGTTTGGTCTGTTAGGGGTTTACTTTGATTTACTTTCAGGGCCTAACTGAACTGTGTCGAACTGGAGAGAGAAACTTAATAGGTTCTAGAGGTTCTCGTTTCGCTTACTAAAACTAGGAATAATTACCAATCGCTTAGGTAAAGATGTGCAACTTATCGATTATGTTGTTTTTTTTAAATTTAGGTTTTTTAATTTTAAGTTTCATAAATTGAAGCAAATGTTTCATGTTCTCCCCTTTACTTTATACTCTCCTACTCTACTCCTTCTCCTTTTTTGCTTTTCATCCTTTTTGTGTTATTGAGCAGCACAGCAATTATCATGATTTCTTTAAACAATTTAATGCCTTGCCTTCAATTTTTGCTAAATAAAACTTTTCCCTCAATCGTGATGTAAATGTTTCTTTTTTTGTCACTTCTTCTACGTCGCATCTTTTACTCGTTTTCCCTTTTTTTTTTGTTTTACGTTTCGCTTTGTTTTTTTTTTTTTGGTAAAAAGTTTAAAAAAATTTGCTTTAAAAAATAAAACTAAAAATTGCTTTTTTTGTTTAGGTAGGTGTGTAAATAAAGAACTAAAAAAAACTCAACAAAAATAACAAGAAAATTGTTTTTAGTTTGCCTTGTTTTCTCTCGGGTTTTAAATGTGTGCTTGTGTAATTGGATAAAAAAATCAAATGATTTAAAAAACTAAAACTTTGCTCCAAGAGTAGCTTGGTATGCCTCTCCTTCTCCTGCTTACTCTTTTTCTTCGTTATATCATTTTTAAATTTAGCTAGAGTAACAAATGCTGCAGGCGATTTGTGGCTCCTAAATCGTCTATGTTTAGTTCATGTTGAGATAGTCGTTGAAGAGCTGCATGCAAGCGGCAGCACCGCCAGTGGGTTCCTCGGGATAAATCTGGTTGGCATATTCCGGAAATCTCCAAATATTGGCCGCATCCAGGAGTTCCCCGGCCGACGAGGAGGAATTCGAGCTGACATCGGAGGCATCGGCGGTTTTAGCCTGCTGGCTGCTATTATCCTGACTGATGCTCAGGTTGCACAGGAGATCGGTGAAGATGTCGTGGCTGCTGGCCGGTGTTCTTTGGCCAGCAGATCCTGGCAGCTCCCAGATATTGGGCTGCTTGCCATAATGCGAGGCACTCCATCCATTCGAGGAGGAGCTGGAACTGGTCAGCGAGGCTGTGGGCGAGGCTGCATGTGGCAGTTGCTGTTGCACCTGCTGTTGCTGCTGCTGCTGATGTTGCAACTCCTTGAATCCATCCCTGAGTGTTGCAGCGTTTTGGGGCGAACTCTGGGTCGCCCACAACATCATCTTGGAGCTATTATCGTTGCCATGACTGCTGGCCGTCGGACTCAACGAGGGCTGCGATCCACTGCCCGAGGAGCAACCACTGCTGCTGCTGGAACAGCCCCACAATGCCGAGATGGCATCGCTTTGGCCCCAGTTGGGTTGGATTTTGCTGCCTGGATTGCTGGCTGAATTATGGCTAATGATTAAGTTACTAATACTGCTGCTGCTGCTGTTGCTTGTGTTTGAATTGGTCAGTAGAAGGCCCTCGAGTCCCTTCTGCGTTGCATGTTGCTGCTGTGTATGTTGCTGCTGGCGCGGTTGCTGTTGCTGCTGCTGTTGGTACTTGCTCATCACATCTGCCATGGCCATCATGTTCATGGTTTTATGGGACTGTTGAGGAAAGTTGTTCCTCTGAAAAGTGCTGACCGCAGGCTGATGTTGCTGCTGCTGCTGTTGCTGTTGCTGTTGTGACTGATGCTGTTGTGTCTGCTGTTGCTGTTGTTGTTGCTGCTGTTGTGGTGGCTGCTGCTGTTGCTGCTGCCGCACCTGCTGCTGATGCTGCTGGGCATGCGGATGGGCTCCAATCAAATCTGGATTAATTTGCTGCTGCAGCGGTGCCGAATAATCGATGGCGGCATTGTAGAGCTGCTGTTTGGCTGGCTGCTTGGCGATGGAACTGCAGCTGGAGGCCGTTGAAGCGCCCTGGGCATTTGGCACCTGAGTGGCGGTGGCACCTGTTCCCACGGGCGACTCCAACGGGGCCTCATGTTATGCGAGCGTCGGCAGCCGCGCCGCCGGGCTCTTGGCGTAGCAGAAGCTCAGGGGCTTCACGAAGTGCGTGTCCTGCGTGTTGCAGTACGGACAAGTTACCCCGTGCGAGTAGTCACTGTAGAAGCTCAGCCGTTGCTGCGGATGCATCAGCATCTTGAAGCAGTTATTGCACTGTAATGGGAGGAAAAGAAAACGAAAATGGGGAAAATTAAATCGATTTTCATGCATTTGTACTGTGAAGTATTGTAACGATTGTAACTTGGTGGAAAAACTTTAAGACTTAACGTTAAAAGGGACTTTTCCATTAATGACTATTATTTTCGGTTGAAAATGTTATGATATACTTATTTTTTAAACACAGCAATTAATTTAAAGCTTATTGAAAGCCATATTATAAATAATATTAGTTCAGAACTCACCTTGAACCTCTCGGAGCAGCAGGGCATGGCCGCAAAGATATCATAGGCGTACATGGTGCCCAGAACCAGGCTCGAGCCATCCCACGGCTCCTTGCAGAATCTGTCAACGATGCAGAAAACACAAATTCATCATTCAAATATTCATTTCCTATACCATTTCCCCCTCGCGATGATGCTCACCTGCAGTTGATAACGCGACTGCTGGAGGTCCCGTCCAGGCAGCTCATGCAAACACAGGTCAAGTAGAGAGTGCGTCCCTCGTATTTAACCTGCAAGAAATGAAGAGGAGTGGAGTCAGGGGGTGTGAAAAAGCGGAAGCGGTGAAAAAGGTGCAGACAAAAGGCAAAAAAGGGGCAGGACCCAGCCGCATAATTCAAGCAGGAGCCCAGGGGCTACCAACCAGACACTCCAACAATGAAAAATTATGGCAGGAAAAAGAATGAATTGCGAGGTCGACATCTAAGCGCCTGAATACACTTTGCATGAAATAAAAAGTATACATTTATGTGTGTCCTCTTAACTAATTTTTAGATGCACATTTGAATATTTTAACAATTTGTGCAAAGGAATTTATTGAAAAAATCAGGTAAGAATAAACTATAATACATATCAAAGGGGGTACTTTTATATAACCACTAGAAAATAATGAGTAACCCTCCAAAATGTCTGTAATGTCTGTGGGCAAACAGACTGCCAAAAATCCTCTTTTTATAAAAGCCACCAAACCAAAGAGAATTCTTTTTTTTACTAACAAACTGACAAAGGAATTATATATATTTTTCCCCAGATAAATACCCTTCAAATAAACCGCCTGTTTGCAAGCTGCTCCTTTTGTTAGGGTATCAACTTTCCCCGCGTTTTGTGAAAGGGCGAGGAAGCGAGGGGTTTTCCCAGAGAATTGAGCGCATTCTTGCATGCCTGACAAAAGGCCAAGGACTCGGGGGGAAACGGGGAAGTGAAACTGCCATTGCGACGCGACATAATAATTTCAAATAAAATGCAAAATGCATAAACTTGCCCAGGAGATTGCTGCTGCCGCCCACGAACAGAAGACCCGAGTCAAAGTCAAGGGAGAGGCATACAAAGGAGCCAATTCCAATTGCAGCAGCAGCAGCAGCAGCTGGCAATGAATTATAAATCCAGGCTTAATTTAAAGCCCCCAGAAGTCGGGGAAATCGGGGGGCTAGGGCGAGACTGACAGGCAGCTAGGGAAAGGATGAAAAGCAGGGGAAAACCGGAAAAATATTAAGCCCATGGAAGCGTAGGTCGTGCGTGCAGTTCCTCTACGTAAAATGTAAAATGCAAAATGTGCAAACTGCAAACTGCAAACTGCATACTGCAGTTTTCCCGGCTCTTCTTTGGGCGCTGGCGTAATTACGCTGACTTAAATGGGTCATAAATTGCGGGGACAGACAGAGCCCAGAAAAAATGGGTGTGGCAGGCGGTCGGAGGCGACTCGAAATGGAGGAGGAGGAGGAGCAGTTCGTCCGCTAATTGCAGCTGAAAGTTCTCGGGGGCACGTGGGCGAGTGAAAGCTGCGTGGTCGTCGGTGTGGGTGTGGGTGAGGTTGCCATGCCACATTTGACGTTTTATAAATGATGAGTACACAGAGAAAAACTAGTTCTAGTGGTATGTTATCATAAATTTTGGGAAAGGCACTGATAAATTACATGTTTTTTGCCTAATGACTCAATACAACTGTTATCATGTATCAAGTATATAATTGTAAAGTTAACATTTTAATCTAATAAAATAAAAATTTAGTTTTAGAATCATTGTTTTATTTTTATTATCCGTTGAGATATAGATAATAAATATGTATGCATTTTTTCTGTGTATAGGACAGTGGATAGAGACTTGGGGGATCGTTACTCACCTCAATGCAGCCGCTGGAATGCTGCTTGGGACTCAGGAAGAAGGAGCCGTCGACCAATGGATAGCGATCGAATACGAGCAGCGGCTCCTCGCACAAAATGCAGGCCACCCGGCTCATCTGCGATTGGGCCAGCGAGGAGAGGATGAAGAGGCGCGTCTCATCGTTGCCATGGTTGCCCTCGTCCTCGATCTGGAAAGAGTTTAAAAGATAACAAAGATATAAGTATTTGGTTTGGGTTGACTAAGTAGACTGAAATAGAAAAAAATCATTGTTTATATCTATAGTGTGGGGTTGTCCCCGTGGATAAAAAAAGTGACAGTGAAGCATAAAGTAAATTTATTTTGTTTAATTCTAAAGATGTAATAAATAAGACTTTTAAAAGCATTGTGTCTTAAATATCTGTGTGTCTTGGGCTTTTACATTAATACTTATAAAATTGGTTTAAATTCCCCAAAAACCTATACAGATATTAAATATATATAAACGTAAAATAACCCGAATTAAAGAAAGTTCGTTTACCCTAAAACCACTGTGTTCCCGCCGCCAAATTCAAGGTGGTGTCCAATGAACATTGCCAATATATGTCTGCCGAGGGACTACACGAAGCAACCAGCCAGCGTCTAAGCGCCAACAAATGAACCATAAAATCCAAACGTGCCAGGGAAAACAGAGCGGGAAACAGGTCCGTGTTGTCTAAGCCAAAGTGGCTAGCACGTTGCCCAAATTGAATGCACACAAAAACACACAGCTAGCCAGGTGTATAGCCAAGTTAAGTCAGCCAGTCAGCCAAACAGTCCAGGCCAATTCCCAAATCGATAATCAATATGGCGAGCCGGCAGATGAACCCACTCTCAATATTTTCCACCGGCTGGTAATAAAGCCGTCAAAAAGCCAAAAGGTGTTGAAAGGATCCACGAAATATGGCTAAAGTGGGAATAGTTGCAGCCACCACCGCCAATCAGAACCAACTAACCCAATGATGAGGGAATATTTGTGACTCTGTTTGGGTAATTGACGATGGTCCGGCACCTGACCAGACGGAATAACAGCACTCAGACATATAGTATATATGTGCACATAGTAAAGTAGGAAGGGGTATCGGTCAGGTTGAATAATTTAGTGGAATGACATTGGAATGTATCGAAATTAAGGTAAAGGACACGTAGTACCAATCAATTGCAGTTGAGGAATGTCTTTCTGGGACAGGTTTAATGCACTTTTAATATGTGCAAGATGTGTGGGGAGATAAAACCCAAAACCCCTTGAAAACATTTGCCAATATTTGCCCAGAACTTTTGTTCCCTTTTTCAATGGATAAGAATGACACTCTTTTTAGCCCGCCTCCCAAGCTAAATAATCAACAAATTAATATTTGCACGGGTCCCACATTGCAATGTTGTTTGCCAACATCTTGGGGGCCAGAGCTCATAAATCTTGACAACAATAAAATCAACTCCCAACATTGTTACAAAACAACAGATTCGATTAATGAATGTTTGCATGCCGAAACGGGGAGAGGGGAGTGAAATTCCCTGCGTAAGCGATACCAAGGCACAATTTTCACTCATTAAACAAAAGAATCCCGGCAGAATCTCGGGGTGAGTTGGTAAAGCAATTAAGTTGATTGCTCAAGGAGAATGTGCGTATCTGTGGGTGAGAGGTGCTTGTCTGGGATTACGGACAATAACAATAACCCAGATAGCAGAGCCAACTGCAGCAATAATCTTTTTCTCCTCTTACGGCTCTTTACAAGGCCAAAAAAATGAAATAAAAAGGATGCAGACGCACATGTATCGTACATTCCATCAAGCATTGGTCTGGTTTTCCACAGTTTTTTCTGCACAGGAAAAAATATTTCTTTGAATTTTGTGTAAAATTTAAATAGGCGACCGAATGTTTAACATTTTGTATTAGTCAGATTATTATTATTTTTAATTAGAAATATAACAGAATAAATTCTCATTCCAAAAACTATAAAATTGACATAATATTCGAGTATAAAAACAAAAATACGGACTTGTTTTATAGTCTCCCTGACTTTTCGCTCTGTTTGAGGCATAAATAATTCCCATCTTCATGTTGGCTACGTGACGATTTGCTAATTTCATCTGCGTTCAGTTGAGTTCTTCTAAGAAGACGGTCGTTGCCCAAAACAGAGAATGAACTCAGACGGGGCCAAAGGATTGAGGACTCTATCTCCTTCATAATTTATGAGAGTCGCGTGTGGAAAGTTTTTTGGCAAAACCGCAGTGGGGAACTCTTGAACAAATTATAAGCATGAAATTATTATTGCTGAATTTGAGATTATTTGGTGAGCGCAACACAACTTTTCGTGGCCCCAACAAAAGTCAAAAGTCGAAGTGCAATAAACTCCCGACACTGAAGGTTTTATCCAGGACTTTATCGGAGGACACTAATGAAGCCATTGAGTTGTCACTTCCTTTGCCTGGCTGGCATTGGACGCATAAATCAGGCAACAGCACTTCCTCCCGACCATAAATATCAACACCCAAACTCACTGAAGCCACAAATCAAAAAGGTTTTCGCCACACCCTCCAAAACGAGACCAAGACAATGGGCCCAAGAAAATACAATTCAATTGAGTTCGATTTGGATTTGGATTCCCTGTAGTTGGGATCAAAGTGGTGGGGTATTCAAAAACACATTAAATTAAATGGCATTTCATAGCTTAAGTGCTGACGGAAGTGGATAGAACTACTACTACTGTTAATCCATTAAAAATGCCAGCCGGAAAAGCTCTCTCAAAGAATTTCACTGCTTCCATGTTTACCTTCCCCATTTGCTTACGTATTGTATTATTTGGATGGGGTCCTTTAAGCTTTATGCTAAAGTTAATAAAAGTGTTTAATATTCCAATTCGCCTTTGTGAGTTTTCGCCAAGTGTTTGTGCAGACAGTAAGCAAACATGTGAGCCTGAAAGACCTCCTCCATCGCTTTCGTTACCTTTTTCCTCCAGCTTAAAGAGCATGAAAATTCCTCATTAGGCGATGTGGGCGTAACTGCGAGGAAAAACTATTTTATTAACCCGGAAAAACTGTTTATTCTCAATTGTGAATTGTGTGTGTGTGGAAATTGAAAAATTGTCTGCGCTTTAAATGGTTTTTCCCCTCGAATCGAGCCGTAGGCGTTTTTTTGCCAGAGACAAAAGAAATGGCAGAATAAATTTGAAAATTGTCATCGGCAAAACTGACAGCAGTCATGGATGTGGGCTGTTTTCTATTTTATGCGGTGGGCGTGGTGCTAGGTGCTTAATTTAAGCAGTGGAACAACTTCGCTGTCTCCCAGCGAGACACTTTGATCAATGGGCCAGATGTGACCTGTGGATTAGGAGTTAAAGCCAATGACAAGACAGCAACAAAGCTAACAAACTTCCTTCTACCAACAAGGCAGACACAAAACACAAGACACTGACAATGAAATGGAATTGCAGTAGGAAAATTCCGAAGGGAGGGTAGCACTTTTATAAATGAAATGGAGTAATAATATTTTGCGACAACAAATGCAGAAAAAAAAACATAGCAAACCGCCAGGCGCATCTGTGTAGGATACAAGGAAATAGAAAGACGGGGCGTGGCAAATTAGTGGGCGGGAAAAACAACAGGAACAATGCAACCAGGCAACAACTACACAGAGAAAAGTTTGAGAGATATTTTAAATGCATTTCGTATAAAATGTAAAGCTTAAGGCCCAAGTAAAGTCCAATAAATAAATGCTTGCCAAATTAATCAAATAAACCTAACCAAACTCTATATTAATAATTTTATAATCAAAGTTTATTTTCTCTGTGCAGCAGAGAATTGCAGACAAACAAACATTTCAATAAATTCAAAAAGTACCAAGCCAGACAATGAAAACTGCACCGAAACGGAGGGAACAACAAGCAAAAGGAGTGCCAAGTCAAAAGGAAAAGTCGATGGGGAAATGCGGGGGACTGCACTCTGCTGTACAACTGTGAAGTGGCTTAAAAGCTTGTCGAGGGGTTGCAACTCCTAAGAGGCAGCTGGTATTCGCATTGTTTCCCCCTGAAAATCTCATGTCATTTGCACTTAATTCAAATGCGCGACACAATTGCAAAATAAAAGTACGCAACCAAAAAAAAAAAAACAAAAACGAAAACTGAGGGAAGAGCTTTGCATATCTAGTCAGGGCTTGTCTGGGTTATAACTTCATTAGGCGGCGCAGTCGAAATGTTTTTTTGATAAGCTGCGCTCCCAAGTTCAAGAAACTTTTCGACCCCAAACTCTTGGTCATATCCTGTGCCAAGTTTTTGATGTCCTTGTCATAAGCAAATTTTGCTTTCACTGGAAGCTCTCCAAAACATTTTAATTTCTCCGCCCTCCCATATATATATATATATATTTTTGCATTTTTTGCATTTGCCATTAGCCAAATGCTTTTCATGGCCCTAAGCTGCTCTTGGCCGGTTAGTATCCTTCTGACCTTTAAATATCAATTTGCAAATAAATTGTATTTGGCCCTTAGTTCAGATGTTTTTTGGTTGTTGTTGCCATTGACTGGACTTTGGGTCTCGTTATTTATCGTGCGTTCAATGTGCTATGGCATAATGGCTTTCTTCGATTGGCCAACAAGAGGAGAGCTTTATGTATAAGGCAAAAGGCAAAAACAAATGCAATTTCCAATTTCATTTTTCTCTCCCAGCGCCTCGTAGTATGCTTTTGCCTTTTTCCACAGTTTATTGAACTGCATCCCGCCGCGAGGCTCCTTTCCCTTTTTTTTCTGTGCTTGTTCTCCACTTTAAACTTTATTCTCGGGCATAACAATTATTTTTATATGAAAAGCAAATTTCAAAGGCTTCTCCCAGACATTCGCCAGACATTGATGGTTATTGGATCCGCATTCTCCACGCCCCCGCATTTTCCCCGCTAAGCAAGCAATTTAAATGCATTCGGTGGCAGTTAATAGTTTTATTATGGTGCTCTTGTTAAACGTAATTGTTTAATTATTTTTTAAGGCACTCCCCGTTGGTTTTTTTCCTTTCCATTTTTCCTGCTGCATTTTACGAAGTCACAGTACATTGCTTTGATTCGAACTTAATCCCCACGATATTAGCAGCCAAAAACTAAACGAACTGTAAGCCATTTCTCTCGGGGGAAAGCCAGGGGTATCCGGAGGAAGAGTAAGTGTATCCTCTTTGGTGTAATTTCTTC